TTATAGTACTAATTATGTGGTACAGGATTCTCTCTCTTTTGATCTGGAGAAGGAGATTTCTCCTATTGCCTGTCCTGTTCCTCTTTTTGAAAATCACACTGTCCTGGAATCTCCTTCTCCATCCATGCAGGGTTCCCCTCCACCTTTGCAGGTCTACTCTCGTCGCCATCGCACTCAACCTCCCCTGCCAGAATCATCTTCAGAACCAGGCCTAGGTAACTCTCCTTCTCCTATGGCTCCTACCATTCCTGAGCATACCTCCCGTTATCCTACCCGTGATCATCACCCTCGTAATTGGTATGGTTTTTCTAGTAGCACTAACCACCCTATTTCCCAGTATGTCTCCTATGATGGTCTTTCAGGTGCATATAAATCATTCCTGGGCAAGATTGGGACCGTTTCTATTCCTCGATCCGTGTCAGAGGCCCTCTAGGATCCCAATTGGGTGTCTACCATGACAACAGAAATTGATACTTTACAACATAATAATACATGGGAACTTGTTGCTTTACCTGCTGGGGAGAAAACGGTTGGCTGCAAATGGGTCTTTAATGTGATGTACTTAGCCGATGGTTCTATTGATTGGTATAAGGCTCGGTTGGTGGCAAAAGGCTTTACTCAGATTCCGGGCAAAGACTTTAGTGCTACCTTTGCTCCTGTGGCAAAGTTAACGTCTGTGCGACTGCTTATCTCCTTGTCTGCTGCCCATTCTTGGCCTCTGCATCAATTAGATGTCAAGAATGCATTTCTTAATGGAGACTTACTTGAGACTATATATATGGATCCACCTCCTGGATTTCGGGCTGAGGGGGAGTATGCTGGGAAAGTTTATAGGCTGCGGAAGTCTCTTTATGGTCTGAAGCAATCTCATAGAGCTTGGTTTAGTCGTTTCAGCGATGTTGTTCTATCCATGGGCTTTATGCGCTGCCACTCAGACCATACTTGCTTTATTCGACGTCGCTCTGATGGTCGTTGCATTATGTTATTAGTATATGTGGATGATATCATTATCACAGGTGATGATGCTTCAGGGATTGCTCACGCGAAACTTCATCTTCAAAAGTCCTTTGATGTGAAGGACTTAGGTCCTCTTCGATATTTTCTTGGAATTGAGGTTGCTAGATCCCGTCGTGGAATTTCTTTATCTCAAAGGAAATATGTTTTGGATCTTCTTCAAGATACTGGTATGCTTGGGTGTCGACCTGCTTCCACTCCTATGGACCCCAATCTCAAACTCTCTGTTGAGTTAGGGGGATTACTTTTAGATCCATCCGTGTATCAACGTTTAGTAGGTCGTTTATCTACTTGATTAACACAAGGCCCGATTTGACATTTGCTGTTAGTGTGGTTAGTCAATTCATGCATGCCCCTCGCTCAACTCATATGGATGCAGTCTACCATATTTTGAGGTATCTTAAGTCGTGCCTGGTCTTGGTCTGTTCTATGCCGCAGGAAATCAGTCTGGACTCTCATGCTTTACTGATGCAGACTATGCTGGATGTAAGACAGATAGACGTTCTACCTCTGGCTTCTGTACTTTCTATGGTAATCATCTCATATCATGGAAGAGTAAGAAGAAAGCTGTTGTCTCTAGATCCTCTGCTGAAGCTGAATACCGAGCTATGGCTCAAGGTACTTGTGAGCTCCTTTGGCTTCAATCAATTTTGGGAGAGTTGGGTCTTGTAGAGAAAGGCTCTTCGAGGCTGTTTTGTGACAATAAATCAACCATTATGCTTGCTTCCGATTCTGTTTTACATGAAAGGTCGAAACATATTGAGGTAGACATTCACTTTATTCGAGAGAAGGTTCGATCAGGTATCATTAATCCTATTTTTGTTCCCTCTTTAGAACAGACTGCAGATGTGTTCACAAAGTCTGTTGGGCCTTCTCTTCTCCAGTCTTCCATAGTCAAGCTGGGCTTGGTCAACATATTTGCTCCAGCTTGAGGGGGAGTGTTGGAAATCATATCCATAAGTTGACTCAATGATTGTGGCAGATTTATTAAGTCTTCAATATAGGATAATATTTAGGGATTTTATTTTTATTCTGATTTGATTTTATTCTCTTTATTCTGATTTGATTTTATTCTCTTTCCATATTTGTAATTTTCCTCTTGTATATAATGATAGTCAGGCTCTCAAATTGAGAACACCAATTTTACTAAGTTACTTTTGAAATTAAGACTAAATTAAAGGAAATAGTAAAAGTCATATTAAACTATAGAAAAATGAAACAAATAAATAAACGTGAGTAAAATTGTTACTAAAGTAAATTAAGTGAGAAGACTTAAGAAAATGAATATATGAATGAATAATGCATATGGTACTCAAAGGATGGATATGTTCCTTACCTATTGTTGAATACATTTTTACATGAGATGTTGGATGTGTGCCTTATGTAATACTTGAAAGGTTTGATATGTTCCTTACCTAATACTTGAAAGGTTGGATACATAATACATGAGATGTTGGATGTGTTCCCTTATATAAGAAATTAAAGAGTAAATACATTACCTAAATGTTAAGAATCAAATTTAATAATTAATCAGGTATTCAAGTGGATAAACTTAAAAATTCATCGGAAGAAAAATATGGAAGTGGACAAGTAGATAGCACGTATTCTTTAATATGATATTATGTGATAACATATATATGATTACCAAAGTTCTTATTGAGGTATGGTAAGATTATTACTTGTTGAGTATTGATCTTGCTAAGCTTGTGAGCTTACTCTTTTCTAACATTTCGGATAATTGGTGGCTGTAGAGAGTTAGCAGTGAAGACTTAGAGCAATCCATAGTTTTCGTGTAATTTTCTTATTTCTTTGAGAGATTTTTGTAGTGAAGACTGGATTTAAATTTAAATTTAATAGTTTATTAGTGATTATTTCTGAAGCGCAACTGCATTGGACTGAAAAACTACATAGATATTTATTAGTTATTGGATTTGTCCTACCTCTACGAGGATTGAAACTAATACAGAAACTTTGAGATTTAACTTCTTAGACCATTTCACAACTACTAAAGAAAACATATAAAGACCCAATAACATAATTTAGCCATATATGAACTTTCTACAAAATCCCTAATTTATCATTTTTTCTAGTATCTTCTTAGCACGATTTGCATCAATTCTTCTCCAACAAGTGCATGTAGGATTGGAATATGCTTAACAGATCCTTAAAAAATCTACACACAAAATGGGTATGGTTCCTTCAGATTAACTACAGTGTAATATTCAAATGAGTAAATTTCAATCTTATTCGATCTTCACTTCCAATATAGCTGTAACTGGTGCCAGGTATGATAAAACACAAAACTTCCAACAGCAAAAATTATTCTAAAAAAGAAGAGATGAATAATAGAAAATTCCTTTGATGTGAAAAATCTAAAGCAGAAGAGTACATGATCAGACAGTGAGTTATATCTGAAACTAGTAGCAAGTACAATGAATCGATTACTAGAATAATAACCAGAATAACTAATCATTTAATTTAATGTTTGATTTTTTCCGTAATTTTGTAACAAGTTAAGCAGTTACGTCAAACAAACTACTTGTCCGTAACGAACCAAAAAACTTTAAAGAATCAACAGTAAAATAACTGGAAGAATTCAGTTAAAAATTATAATTATTGACTTCTAAGATCAAAATCTATTGAATGAACAAGGTAGTTAGGCAAACAAATTTTGCAGTCAAAACTTAAAATTTCACCATAAACGAGGTACATTAAGAAGCTCAACAGTACCATAAAGTTCCACGCTTAAGTGCAAAAGAATGCTCTTTTGCATTGCTCATGACCCATTTTCTAGATTATGAAATTCCTTTAATTCCATCCAATGCCAGACATTCAGTCTTGTTACAGAACAAGATTCCACCAAGCATTAAAATACTATTACTTAAAGTTGAGAATAAATATGTATTGCATTGTATGTAAACAATACAATAGGGTCCTATATATAGGGAAGGTTGTGAGTAGGTGAGTGGTGAACAAGTAACCTATAAATGGTAATATGGTAGGTGTAATCATACATGGTAATGTGTAGCATGCAAGAAACCTAGGTGGTAGGTAAAAGGGTAAACTTGTAATCTAAGCCGTACCAATAAGTTCCACGCTTAAATGCAAAAGAATGCTCTTTTGCATTGCTCATGACCCATTTTCTAGATTATGGCATTCCTTTAATTCCATCCAATGCCAGACATTCAGTCTTGTTACAGAACAAGATTTCACCAAGCATTAAAATACTATTACTTAAAGTTGAGAAGGAAATACTGAGGTGTTAGAATTGGCTCAAATTTTGATTGGTTGACTGATGTGGCATAGATGATGATGCAAGTGGGCTGTGAGGATGCAAGTCTGTAACAGATGTTTGAATGTTCTAGAAATATATGAGACGGTGGTCAATGATAGAGTCAAAGGTAGAAAAGCAAGGTTTAAGGAATGTGTTGGCACCAAAATACTTAGCCTATAAGGCTTTGTTCTAATTGGATGTGACAATGAAAATGTGTTGGCACTTTGAATGTGCCTTTTGGCCAAAGACGGTGTGAAGTCGGCAGCATTGCCTATATATATAAAGTGATAATCTGTGTAATGGGGTGGTATGAAGAACATCAAAGAGTGAAGAGAATAGAGAGCAGAAAAGTGTGAGAAAAATAGAGTGAGATTAGTGAGGCCCAAGAGCTATTGTATTCCTTAAGAAGATTGTGTCTTCTTTTAGTTAGTGAGTTTGGAATACGTTGAGGGTTGTAATATTCTCTTTTCTCTAATAAAAGTGAGTGGTTCTTCATCTGTGCGTAAACCTTGTTCTTTGTTGAGTGTGTTATTTCCATCTTATTTTTCTCTTGTTGCTATTGCATACTTTTATGTGTGTGTGATCTTGGGCGGATTAATTTCTAACGAGAGATATTATTAGTGTTGATACAAAAGGGATTAATTCATAACAGTCCGCAATAACTCGAATATTAAAAACTATAACAAACAAGGCTCTGTAAATTCAAGCTTACAATATCACCGGGAAGTTGAGAACTTAATGGTATCCTCCCCCAGCTTTCTCCGGCATCGTCAGTGTACAACAAAATTGAAGGTTTTCCAACAATCCATCCTTCCTTTCCTCTGAAGCTGATAGAATTAAACCTGTAGTTAAAGTCTTCGTCTTCAGCAGAGGGTATTGAACGTGGAGCCCATGTGTTCCCTCCATCTTTTGTCTCCAATATAGTTTGCCTCGTCCCCAACAGAAAGCCTATCGAGCCAACAAAATGTCAAATATTCTTTAATTGAGATTGAGCACATAAGAGAATGTTATTGTCTCAAAAACCCAATATCAATGCCAAACTACTCAACTTATAAGGCAAAAAATTCCAAATTCTTGATATAAGAGAAAATTTATATAAGAAACTGAGGGCTTCACCACTACCCAAAAATTAAATTTTAATAATTTCACATAGTTGCAAGTATACATGCGAACCATTGGGTTTTTAATTGGTAATAATTGAACCAATATGAATCAGTAGACAGCTTAACTAGACTCGAGAGGTGTAAAAAGGTACAATACGTCTAAAACAATTTGTACACATTGAAATTTCTTCCATTACTCCTCTGTTCGTATGCTGAGAAAAATGAGGTGTGAAACATAGAGAATCTGAATATTATGGTCTATATTACCTTTATTTTTAAAAAGGTCAAAACCCAACAGAACTAACCCAAAATTTGCTTTTAGTTTCAGTTGACTGGTAGTCTCCGTTTTCTCAAGTTGAGAAAATTTGCTTAAAGGGTTTTGCTTCAAAATAAAATTATAAAAATTAAAAACGCCTCTTACTTTTTAAAGGGAGGTTAGGGCTCAAGTCAAACGTGTGTGTGTGTGAGTACCAAGTAAAAAAATAAAAATAAAAATAAAAAGGATTGCTTGGTTTAGTTTTCCTAAACAGTTCCGAACTAAACAGACATTTTTTAACCAGTTTTCTGCAACCAAACAAGTTTCTTTACAATTTTCTGATTTTTAGTTTCCTAAAAAAAAAAAAAAAAAACTACACCACGCATCATTTCTAACTTAACCCCTGCACTTTCACACCACCCAAAATGAAAAAGACCAACTTAAAGCCAATAGCAAAAACTTCATTCAAAAAGAAAATTGTTATTCACAAGCTTCAAATTCATTGATAAGCTGAAAAGCACAAACAGTTGTGTAAACATTGTAAGAGATGGAATTGAAACAATACCATGACTGGAGTCATCAGGAACGAAAGCGATGTCAAGGAGAACCACACCAGGATCTATGGGGAGGTAAACCCTCTCCCATTCGGAGAGAGGTTCTTCGGCTTTGGCCGGCCGCTCGAAACCGAGCAGAGGAGAGAGAGACAACGAAACAGCGGCGGTTTCGGCGATGAAATGTCGGCGATTGCGAGATGGGTTTGGGTTTTGATCGAGAGAGGCTCTCAGAAGAATGCGAGTTCGGGAGGTCCTGTAACGACGAGGACTAGTGAAGAGAGAGTTCAAAGATGGTCTCAGTGCAGTTATTGCGTTGGAGCAATCAGTGAAGAGTTGGAGAGTTGCCATTGTTGTTGCTTTTCTCTCTCTCTTATCCGAATGCTATTTTGCTCAACGGCTTCGCGGGAGGTTTCAAAGCGGGCCAAATCCGAGTGGTGGATAGAGTTGAGTTAAATTAGAGTGGATAGGGGATGACTCGATGGGGGTGATATTAACTCGTGTGCATAATAAATATATTATTAAATTGGAGCTGTTTATTTTCATTTTTTATTTTTTTTAGCAGTTACATAAGCATGTGATTTTCTTAATAAGTATACTTTAAATTTGAGGGTCAAAAAATATATATATAGCAGTTACAGAAACATATGATTATCTATCCATGTGCAGGGTTAATTTTATAAAATCCATAAACTATTTTCTCTAATTAATTTTATATATCAATAAGTTCACTGAAGGAACCTAAAAACTTTTTCAGGGGCATTATTAACAATAGCAACAATTAAACTGAAAGATTTGCCCTTATGTAATTAAAACAATTATAAATTATGAAATCATGAAAAGGGAAGAAAATCTAATGAAATTGATATAAGCTTTTATACTTTTCAGCTTATAAATCATAATGAGAATCTATTATTTCACTCTTTGTTAAAAAAATAATAATAAATAAATAAATAAAGGAGAAGAAGAAGTGATATGTAAGTTTAAGTGTCAAAGTGAATTGTTTGACAAATATATATATAGAATATTATAAAAATTATATATAGAATATAAGAGAGGGAGAAAATCTAGGGGGGCACATGCCCCCGGCCTTAACTCCCTACATCCCTAGTCAAGAAACACTCTAACTGATCCGCCTAAAAATTATTTTTCTATACTTTTTTACTAAGGATGGTAATTTTTTCCGACTCGATAAGTTTTCACCCCACCCCACCCTAATGGGGCGGATTTGGTAGCTTCTTAAATTGGTTTGGGGTGGATATGGTAAAATAATTGAAAACCCAAACCGGCTTTGGGGCAGGGGCGGGGGCGGGGGCGGATTTAGTGATAAACCCGCCCCGATTATATATATACCTTTAAAATTTATATGTATATATAAAATATATATTTAATATATTTAAGAACCTTGTTATTTTGCTAGAAGTGTCCACTTAGTATATTAAAATTCACTACTTAGTAATTTTAAAGTTGAGCCAGCTTATTTATTAGCCAAATTTAAGCACATTGGGCTACTCTTTTTTTTTTTCTTTCTAAATAATAAAAATGGCATAATCTTCCCCACTCCGCCCTTGCCCCACAATTAAACGGAGTACGCGGGGTGGAGTTAGTACTTTGTCTACTGAAATAGGGCCGGGGATGATATACCAATTACAAACCTGTTTCGGAGTAAGGGCAGAGTTGGTATGACGGATTTTCTATTGGGGTGGAGTAAGGTTTAGCTAACTCCATCCCAACTCCGTCCGTTGCCATCTTAATTTTTGACAAATTGACAACAAGAGTTGTTGTTTAGTCCATCCTCTATTTGATAAATAAATAAATAAAAAAAAATAAAAATCCACTTCCCTATGTATATAATAATAATAATAATATAATGGTTGAGAGCACTTAGAGATTTGTAGAACATGAAAACACCATGAACCTTTCCTGTAGACTTTATTAACCCATGAAAAGAATATACTTAATGAAAATTTAATCAAAGTGATTGCCCTCAATATTCTAACTTATTTCTCATACTTGAGAACCAAATATTACTCTGCAAGAACAAGATATCATTACATAAAGGAAAAAAAAAATACAATCACTAGCAAGAATGACCATAATGTCAAGAGGAATATGAACAAGGACTATATCACTGGAAAGATGGGTATTTGAAAGCTTAGCCACTTCATGAGCGACCTCATTGCCAATGTGTCGGCCATGGTTAATAAAAATTGAAGAAAAATGCTAAAGGACTGGCTTAACATCAAAAACCACCACCGACTAAATCTTGGAAGGATTCAATGTTACGTCAAGCTTTCGAGCGGATGTCACGATTTTGATAGCGCCATTGATTTGATTGAAAATGAGCTCATTTTCTTCTTAGAGCATCTGGGCAAGGAGTGCGATCCAAAGTATTTGGAGTATTTGGTACCCCGCGCCCTGTTCCATAATCTTCAATCTTTAAGCTATAAGTAAAATGATAAGGGTAGAAATGAGTGATTTGTTTACATTTATAGCCATGACGAAACTAAATGGTTCGAATGAAGAGAAACGAAGAATCATCATTTGGAGGCTGTACACCTTATTTTCCTGGGATTGTAGTTCAATTGGTCAGAGTACCGCCCTGTCAAGGCGAAAGTTGCGGGTTCGAGCCCCGTCAGTCCCGAGCCTCATTTTCGTTTACTTCTTGTTGTACTTAGACTCCCTATCCTAGCCTTGTTTGGAAGTGCCTTGTCTTAGTCCTATTCTAGTCCGAGTGCTAAGAGTCAAGCAGGAGCCAAGTAGGTTTATATACAAAGTTTCTCTCTCTTACATCATCAATGAGCATAGATTGATAGAGATGGCTTTTGTATTGCTGGGTTGCCCACCTAAGCCACTATTGTTGTGTTATATAGGGGGCAAGAATAAATCGCCTAGCAAGATACGAAAAAGAAGGATGCCCTTAAGAGAAAAGGTGCGAAAGTGACTAATGGCGAGATGAGGCTCGTTGAGACCTTGAACTGACTTATATCCTTAGGAAGTGAAGGAATGGAATGAATATGGGAAGACTCCAACTACCATTTCTCTTTCACTTACTAATGTCCCTATTCTCCAAGTTCGCCTAGGCTCTAACCCTTGCCTTAGCCCCGCATCACGCCCCATTCTCTCTATCTTAATCAATTCTTGTAACTATTCCGGTGATAGAATAGAAATGATAGCCACTATTCCGGTGATAGAATAGAAATGATAGCCACTGGTAGGGAGTTGGCGTGACTTTCATCTCCATTTGGTTCAGATTTGAAGAAGGGCTACTATTGGGCAAGTCGCCATCACTGATGGAAATATTGCTTAAAACAACCTTTCTTTCTTTTATTTGAGCTATAAAATACTCACGTAGAGTATTTCCTAAGCTAAACTATGCCATAGAGACCACTTCCTAATTTCTTGAAACTATTCAAGTAGTGATTAAGGAATCACACTCAAACTAGACTTTTAAGAATTATTAAAAATGTAAAGCTCAGACAACAACCAGCCTTAAATTGCCTCTGTAGATAAAGTACTGGATGCCTCAAATTGCCTGAAAAGTACTACGTCAATAACATTAACCAAATTGTCTCGAAACATAGCCCCACCACCTCCAACTTTAGAAGAATGAGAAAATAAAACATCAATATTACATTTTAAACACACATCCCTTGAAGGATGCCAACGAGAAAAGAAATGAAGGGAAGGATGCCTAGTACTCTTTCTATAAGATTTAAAGTCCTTAATACCATTAGCCTCATATAACTCCCAATAATCAGTGGTAGTATTGTTGATTGATGAGTGCCGAAAAATGCACATCTCGGCCCTTAATCTTGCATTTTTTAGCACCTTAATCCTATCTTTATTCATCTTGTTAGTACTTATTTGCTTTGTTGTCGATTTCAGGTGACTAGAGCAAAAAAGAGCTTATTCCAGTATATTAAAGGTTTTGGGAAGATCACCTGAGCATCAGAAAGAAAGTAGCAACTGAAAAGAGCAGAAAACACAAGCATGTAAGGGCACAATCGATCATAGGTTTCCACAACTGATCATACACGATCGATTATAGGAAATCCACGATCGATTGTAGAAAATCCATGACCGATTGGAAGTCGAGGCTGAGATTGTTAAATGCAATTCAAATTTTTGGTTCCAACTCAAGCCATGGTACACGTGATTACTGACATTTATGTACATGGTCTGACCTATTTTGAAGCCTTAGAGTCAACTATAAATAGAGAATGAAGGCCCTTTGACACATATACATGCTTGGGGATTAATATTGGAGGCCCTTCTTTCTCTACTTTCTCTCTTTAGGGCTTGCTATCAAAGAAAAAAAAAAAAGATGTAGCAGAGCTTAGAGATGGTGATTGACATCTTTAAGACCACATCCATTCTCTCCATGGCTGACTAGCTAGCTAATCACTTAGGGTTTAGATGAACCCTAAGTTTATGTAATTATATTATTTAACTTTGATTCTTGAGGATTTTTAGTTGTATATTTATTCTTAGTCTAGAGGATTCAAAGTTGGTTGTACCATACATTGATTTGCTGAATTCTTATATCATTTTTCAATTCTCCATATGTTATCTTATGTATAGTTGGGTTGATGATTGATCTCTACATTGAATGCTTTTTATAACTGTGTTCAATGATGACTATGCAATAGTTTACTTTGGATATAATTGTTACTGATTTGATGATTTATTCGTAATCTTGATGATTTGTACCACATCCTTAGATTAGTTATAGTTATTTGGGCATTTCATTCTTGAATTTGATAGTTCATACTTATTCATTACAATTATAGTATCATTTTGTTCATTGATGTGTGCTTGTAGCCACATCTCCATTATACAACTTAATTTCCCCATTAATTGAAGGTAATTAGTGTAATTGCATGAGCTTAGTGATGAAATCTATGCCTCCCCATTCTTGGCTCAATCAAAGAATTAGAGGAAGAAGGGCGTTCAAACTCCTCAGGCTATTGAGGGTATGTTTCTTATACACCCTACCATGATGCAACTGCTGCGATGCCTGTCCCCGTGGTGGTGGTGGCGCCGGTAAAGCCAAGAACGCCTGATGAGCCATTCTCACATCGATGGAGCCTGAGAACTCAGTTGGGCTCCCCTTTGTGAAAAAAAAAAAAAAAAAAAAAAAAAAAAAAAAAAAACCTCCTAGCCTTCTCCTAAGGATTAGCCTGAACTACCGGTACTGGTACAGGTGCCTGCTGAACATGTGGCTGATTTTGAAGTACAGCTGCTACGCCTGCTGCTACAGCCTGAGCAATGATGTTAGCTAGCTGAGAAGGATACTTTAAACCTCTGCCCTGATGTTGGTCCTGACCCTGAGACTCCTGAGTCTGCTGTTTCTCCTCCTGAATTATAGGAACTTGTTCCTCATCCTCTTGAAACAAAGGCAATTGTTGCTCCTCCACAATCCGCTGACGTCGTAGGAGATTTTGCTGCCTACGCG